CACCCACCACTGCTCGCTCCAGCACCTCGATGTCGCCGTCCCGCCACGGGCCGACCCGCAGCTGACAGTGACGGAAGGTTGCACCGATGAAGTCACGCGCCTGCACATGCCTGCAGACCCTGCGCTGCCCGCCCTGGGCGCCTGCGCGCCCTCCGCTCCCACTGGCCACAAGGGCAAGTGCTGGCCACCAGCCGGCTTGTGCCCCCTGGCATTTGTCACTGTGAGGCTCCGAGAGGGGAAGGAAATTACAGAAACAGAGCATCCCGAGGACAATGCCATGTCGCTCGGGAGCCAGCTGGATGGGCGGTTTTGCACAGAGAAGAGTTGAGGTGGGGACACGTCCATCCACCAAGGGCCAGCAACCTCACCACCAGGACACGGCATGGAGGGACATGGCGTGTTCGGAGAAAACGGGCGGGTTAGAGCAAAGCCTGCGTTGAACGGGAAGAGCCTGGTACAGTCAGAAATGGAATGATCCCCAGGCTCCACAGGCAGGGGGCTGGGGGCTCTTTCAGCATCCCGGTGCAAATGCTTTGCTTTGGCAGCCCAGGGGCTGGACCACCTCCCACGCTGGGGACCCTGGTCCTCCCTCACTCCGGACCGCGCTGCACCCCCCCTCGGCGCAGAGCATCCGCAGAGCGCTGGGCTTTCCTCCTGAAACACTGTCTTTTTCCTTCCCTTTTATCCCCCCCGCCCCCCCGGCCCGTTCCGGGGACTCACCAGGCACCATTCCTGTCAGCGCTGGAGCTGAGTAGCTGCCCTGTCCGGCAGGGGGGACATGCGGAGGGTATCCTGGGAGGGTTGTGCTTGCCAGCTCGCGACCTGAGGAATCAAACCAACAAATCACCGCGTGAGCATCGCGACGAGCGGACACGGTTTTACATCTCCCCGAGTGCCCAGAACACAGCCATGCATTTGTCATCGCTGCTCTGCGAGGACCAGCGTGGGATTTCCAGCCTGGCAGGAAGGGGGGGCACAGTTTTGCTTTCTCTATAAGCTGCCACAAAGCTCCAGCAAAGTGAGAGACGGGAAGGGGAAGAGCAGAGCTCTGCAGGGAGCAGAACGTGCCCGCCTGAACTCCAGCTGCTCGCCCTTATTCCCAAGTTCCTCTAAAGCTCAGATCTGTAAAGTCGGAAACAGCAAAATGTGAAATAACGCTGATCTTAATGACACTTTCCCAGAAAACTCTCCGGAAAATCACAGGCATGGGCTGACAGCTTGCAGAGATCTAAATGCATAGAATCATAGAACCATAGAATCATTTAGGTTGGAAAAGCCCTTTAAGCTCATCAAGTTCAACCGTTCCCCTAACCCTGCCATCCCACCCCCAAACCCTGTCCCTCAGCACCTCATCT